AGAGACAGAGTGAGATGCGAGAGGAAAAGAAATACAGGTGGAATAAAATTTGATAACATCAAGAGATTTTTATGAGCTAAGTTTTATTATAATAGAAATGAATTCAAAGCGAATTTTTAATTATGCAATTTTTAAATATTTTCAGAATTGAATTTTCTTCGATAGATCAAAGTGCCAGCACTAGCTATTCGCTTGAAGGCGCGTCAGGTGGCAACGCTACGGGCTAATTGAGTGCGCTTCGAGGCGAGTCTCGAATGCGGACGGCAAAGCGAAAAAGAAAATGTCGAGCCTAGGCAGCCGCAAGTTAGGTTTACGGCGCTTCGAATTAAATATACTTTAGTTCTGTCTTCCAATTTCATTTGCAGCTGCTTCAAAATCCAATTAACGCTGCCAAACGCTGCACAATGTGTGCCGGCCTCTGTGTGTGTGTGCGAGTGCGAGTGTGTGTGAAGCTCCCAAAGGATAATAAGCAGCTTAGTCTCGAGTCCAGGCGAACGCGTCGATGCACAGCAGCAAGAATAAAGAACTATGGGAAAAATTGCTAGCACCAAATCGAAAGCGTATGTCGCTGGCCTGGCCAGAGTGTGAGTGAGAGAGGGAGAGAGAGAGAGAGAGAGAGGTCACATCGTCATATGGCTGAGCAGATTTCCCTCAGGTATTGGAGCGTGATGAAGAGCGGGGGAGCGGGTAAGTAAAATGGCGCTACTCGATATGATAATGATACAATTTCGATAAAGCTTAACAAGGATTAGGCAACGCCTGACGCCCGGATGAACGATGATATCAGCTAATTGGCAATGTGGTTCGCCTGTCGCTCTCTCCCTGGCTGCTGGCGAAGGACAGCCAAGAATAATGCCCAATAAGCAGGCAGCCAGGCAGCCAGGCAACCAGGCAACCAGGCAGGCCAACAGCTGCAGAACGCACTAGCTGCAGCTCGGGATGTGTCGCCAGTTGCAAGTGACAATTTATTAATAAACAGCAACAACAGGAGGAGCAGCAGCACTAGCAGCAGGAGGAGGACAAGGAGGAGCAGCAGCAACAGCAGCAGGAGGAGGACAAGGAGGAGCAGCAGCAGCTAAAGGACTTTCGACTTGCCACGCCTCAACTAGCCTCGGATCGCCTCGTTTTGACTGCCAATTACCGCCCAGCAATAAATTGGTTGTCACGCGGCGGCTACAGCCGGAACCCCTTGCCAATCAGAGCAACCAATGTTGCGTTTAATGGACTCCATAAATTCTGGAGTCCTCTGACAGGGCGGCCGGCGTTTATTAGGCAGCCATCGAGTACATTAGAACAGAGATGAATTACTTGCGCCCAGACACACTGCGAGACCTCAAATTTCAGACTGCACCAAAAACAAAACGAAAGCAGGGGAAACCACTAGAAATCAGAGAGTACATGCATATATTTTATCTATAGCTAACCATAAGTGTAGTACATGTTGACTGAATTATGTGAAAATTAGGTGATTTTGGTAGAGTATATAAATAATGTTATGCCTAATGATATAATGATATATGTGATATGATCTTAGTTAAGACATATAACTAAGACAACATCACATATATCATTATATCATAAGTGATAAGTGTTAAATGATCTATTAGATATTTGATATGTTATATGATATATGATTAATTAAGAATGCCAAATATTCTGCGATTTATATGTGGTATATGATATATGTATGTAGTATATGCAGTGTCATCTTTTCTATATATCATGTGTATATTGATATATCATAAAGTGTAATATAAAGTATATATCATATGGTATATTCAATACATGATTAATGATCTATGATCTATCTAGCTCATTAATCGTATATCATATAGTATAGTAAATATTAACCCTTATTATGTGCGGTGGTAGTATGAAGGTACGTAGAGACTAGTTTATATAGTGCTTATGTATGTATTTCTATATATGTGGACTGTAGGAATGTGGCTATAGCGACTCGTTCGCTAATCTTAATAATTACATTATACATACATACATATGTAGACTTATATAGCCCAGGGCCAGGGACTTGCAAATTTGAATAGGGAATTCTTTATTCTCGCAACTGTTGGCCAAGGGGGCAATGGCATTCGCAGTGAGACGCGAGCATGTGAACAAAAGAAGAAAAGGCTTGACTGATCACACACACTCAACATACATACTCAACACACACACTCTACACACACTCCACACACACACACTCTACACACACGCTCGCAATCAAAGCCAAGTTGCAGAGAAATCAAATTAACCAAAGTGTGCAAACGGAATGAAAAATAGGACGAAATAGGGGAAGCAAGCAGCTAGAAAAGGGGGTGTGGTCTAGGGGCGGCTGGAAAGTGGGGTCTGTCGAGTGCATTGAATGCAGTTGCAAAGGCCGCCGCAACCGCACCCGACAGATGGCGCTCTTTGCGTTCTCAACTGTAAAGTAGGGTAGATTACATAGCTCTTTCAACGATGCCCAGGCAAGATGCCGGAAAATTCCAGCAAAAAAAAAAAAAAATTAGAAAAAAAAAAATAAAGTCAGTGGGTGGGCAGGCAGCCGTGGGGCTGAGGGGCTCGACTGGCGCCAGTGAACCCAAGGAAAAGTCAACAGAAAGGAAACAGTCGAATAGGAAGCCGCCGTCTCATAGACAAAACTAAAAAGGACAACGGAACGGGTGAGAACTGAGTGAAACACACAGAGCAACTGTGCAGAAAAAAAAGAGCGAAGAGGAAGAAGACTGAAAGGCTAAAAGGCCGGATACGTTTCAATGACAGACCGAGCGAGAGCGACTGGGCCAGTAACTCGAGTAATTGGTAGATTCCTTCCCGACCCGTCGCTAGCCTCCACCTCGGCCTCTGTCTCTGCCCCTGCTTGGACCCCCGACACGCTCCTCTCCGCGCTGCTTTAGTAAAATGTGTCTTTGTCAGAGTGCGTCACTGGAGCATGCAGAGCAACGGCTCCACGACAGACCACCCGCTTCCCCCTCTGCCACTGCCACTGCCCGCCCATGCCAAGATGATGTCAACGCCAATGCCAGGCAGAATGCCTTGCATATCAAAAGTGAAAACTTTCGACATATAATTTTGCGCATGGATTTTCACTTTGACGGCATAAACGATGACAATGCTGCCTTTGAGTTGTTCCCCCCCTCCCCCCCTGCTAGGCCCACCTCTTCACACAGAGAGACAAAGTCACGCTGCTTGCGCTCCAAATGAAAAGGGACAGCAACACACACACACACTGATATATTGCTCCTGCCCACATCCTTTTAGATGGCTGTGAAAGCCTTTCCAGGCACGGCACGATCATGCCGGTCACGTGTGAAATCAACCCAATTATAACCCAATACATCTTTGCAGTTTTGAGTGCCAGCACTTGATTCGATAGTCGCATTGATTAACCTCTTAGCATTTATTAATCTATTTGTAAAATATGCCTCTCAATAAGAATCATCCACCCATTATAGAAGGTCAAGCTACGCTCCTGCATGTAAATATGCAGATTTGGAAAAATATTTAAAAAATAGTCTAAACATCACACTAACAACATGCGTTTAAATTTTTCGGATATACCCAATAATTTAGATTTTATAGACCAACAAACTTTTTTAAAGGTGCCGCTTGAAATATGCTCTGAGCCAGTGTACATACACACACATGCAAATGTATCTATACACATGCATACATACATACATACATACATATGTATATATATTCGCTGATGCAGCCCATGCATCTATTTCATATGTTTGCTCATTTTTGCTTTTCGTCTATCGCATCTACTTTTTCCTCAGGCGTGGCAGACCCCATAAAGTGTATGTATTCTTGATTAGGGCGACATTCAGCTGAGTTGATTTAGCCCTGTCCGTCTGTCCGTATGTTTGAACGCGTGGATCTCAGAAGATATAAGAGCTAGAGACTTGAAATTTTTTTCTAGGTCCGTGTATAGCACGCGCATATCGGGGTTTGCTTTAAATATCCATAAATTACTTATATGTATTTTATACAATTTCGGTTTTTGTTAAAATTTACCCCCCACCCCTAATTCACCCCCTAATCATCACATTTGTAAAATACGTATTTCAAATACTAGAGACTTGTGCTTTGGCAAATACATACATATCCATGATATAATCATTATCTGAATTTCATGAAGAAACGACATCCACAAGAAAAGTTATTGAACAATTAAGTTCCCTTAGTAAGCCACCACTGCAGCCAATGCGTGTTTATGCGTGCGTGCGTATCTCTGTATGTGTGTGTGTGTGTGTATGATGTGTGTGTATATGCGTGTGTGTGTGTGTGTATCTTGTGTAAGCAGAAAGACGCGAAAAATGATTGAAATAGCTATTGCTCGAAGGGTTCAGGGGATCTCATAGTCGGGCACTCTCGACTAGAGCTTTCTTACTTGTTATTATATGTTTTTGTTTTGTTTTCTGATTGATCACATTTTCATTCATTCCATTCACTTTGCCATTCACACAGATGCGCGATCATTTGCATCGGCTGCTTTGGGCCGCGTATCGATGCGAGTGAGTTCTGGCTCACTGCAAACTTTAAACGCTAACTTAGCGCAGCTGCCCGCTGTTGCGACACGCCCACTGCCTGGCACGCCCACTGGCGAGACACGCACGCCCTGTCGCCGCATCAAATGCGCAACTACTTTTGGCTGTAATCTGCGCTTATAAACTTTTTGCTGGCATAAAAAGGGCGTTGCATGTCGTTTTAAGTGAGCATCGGGCAGGTTGCCAACTTTGCCGGCATCCGAGGGATATGCACATGCATGCATATGTATAGACACTATGTATGTATGCAGATATATCTATATAAATGAGTAACGGTTATGGCGCCCATTGGCTTTTAAGCTGTTCGATTGTTCCCAGTGGAGTTTGCATTTTTTATTAACGCATGCACACACATAGAAACATGCACATGCACACATACATACATGCATACATATAAATACAGACTGAGAAGAACGGTCTTTTAGCTATACTAGGGTCACTCCGGCTACACCCGCTTAGTCTAGGATGCGGAGGAGCCCGCCTTGCGTGCGCGACGCGATCGACGGCTCGAGCGGTTCTTGGCCGCCTCGGCTTTGGCCTTCGCATCGGCTTTGGCCTTTGCCTCGGCTTTGGCCTTCGCCTCGGCTTTGGCCTTCACCTCGGCTTTCGCCTTAGCCATCACCTCGGCCTTCGCCTTTGCCTTCTCCGCGGCCTTAGCCTTTGCCTTCGCCACAGCCTTCGCCTCGGCCCTCGCCTTTACCAGCGCCTTGGCCTCGGCTTTTGCCTTCTCCTTTGCCTCGAGCTTTGCCATCTTTTCGGCCTTCGCCTTCGCCTCTGCCTCGGCCTTTATCTTCGCCTCTGCCTCGGCCTTCAGCTTCGCTTCTGCCTCGGCTTTTGCATCCGCTTCTGCCTCAGCTTTGGCCTTCTCCTTGGCTTCGGCCTTGTTTGCTTTCTTCTCGGCTTTTCCCTTTGCCGCTGTCTCGGCCTTTGCTTTTGCCTCTGACTCGGCCCTCGCCTTCGCCGCTGCTTCGGCCTTTGCTTTTGCCTTCGCCTCTGCCACGGCTTTTGCCTTTGCCTTGGCTTTGGCTTTGGCCTTTCTCTTCGATTCGGTCTTTGCTTTCTTCTCGGTCTTTGCCTTAGCCGCTGCCTTGACCTTAGCCTTCGCCTCTGCCTCGGCCTTTGCCTTCGCCTCTGCCTCGGCCTTTGCCTTCTCCGCGGCCTCGGCCTCGGCCTCTTCGCGCCGCACCTTATCCAGGCTGTAGCGCAGCTCGCCCATCAGTGAACGGAAATTGGGATCGGCTGGGCCATTCATCAACGAGATGATCATCAGGCGCTTGTCGTTCGGATCTGGAACGGTCAGCTCAAAGCGACGAAACTCAGCGCCGTTCTGCAAAAACATTAGCAGAAGCGGAAGAAGAAGGTCAGCGATATGTGAGAGAGAAGCACGCAGTCCCATTGGACTTACATCTTCGGGACGCGGCGATGGTTGCGTCTCCGTATCAACGGCCACCTCGAAGATGACGCGATGCGGCGGCTTGCGTGGCGTCTGCCTTCCATAAGTCAAGCTCAGGTCGGTGCTTGTGGAGCGATCCATTTCAGAAAAATTGGGAAAAGTTAACTTTCGACTGCTGAAAGTGACAGGCACATACGAAAAGGGTATACAGTGTTGCACAACGCCGCATGCTGTGCAACACTGGGCTGCACATGTCTGGCAACGCTGTTGGCTGCGAGTGGCAACAGCCTAGGCAAAACTCTATATATCTTCCTCACTCCTGATCCCCCCTCTCTCTCTGTCTCTCTCTCTCTCTCTTCCTCCGCCCCTCGCTACGTCTGCCTAACTGTGTTTCTTTTTGTGTTCTTTGGTTTGTTTGCATGTGTGTAAATTTAGAAATTATGTTTTCTTGTCTTTTAATTAATAATCTCAAGGGTGTTTGCGGCTTGTGCTGGCAGAGTGGCTGAATCTAAGGGCAGACAGGGCACAGAGCTGAAAGATACAAGCCATATGCATGTTACCAAGTGTGTGCGTGTGTGTGTTTGTGTGTGCTGAATGTGAACTTGTGGTAGACAATAGTCGCATGTGCTTATATAAGCAACTCGTGTGCGGCCCACATGGAAAGCCAATGCCAGATGTGAGTTCTATTCCAGATGCTGCTCCTGCTGCTGCTGCTGCTGCTGCTGCTGCTGCTGCTGCTGTTAGCTGAAGTGAAGGCACTTTTATGGGCGTGTGTCTGTGTGTGAGTTGACAATGTGATTTACATTTAATTAAAATCGTATTTACTCGTTAGATAAACAAACAACAAGTGAGACAGAGAGACAGGGAGACAGGGCGACTGGGCGAGTGCGTTAGAGCAGAGCAGCGTCGCACATTTGCTTTCTGGCCCATTTGAGTTGGCCCCGAGCAGCTGCTGCTCAAGGATTAAGTTCTAAAATTGTTGTAAAAATTAGATGAAGAAGAAGAAGAAGAAGCTGCTCAACCTCAGCCACAGCCTCAGCTGTCTGTCTGCCTATCGGCCGTCTCGCTCGCACGTCTTTCATCAGTTACAAAAATAAAAAATGCTTTCGATTGTGGCTGCAAATAATTTGAATATCAACTGGAATTTCGATTCAATCAAATCAAATCAAATCGAATCGCATCGCATCGAATCAAAATTACAATTCAAAGCATCGAATTCAATTTGCAATTTGAAGCTTTGTTTTTGTTTTGCTTCCTTTGAATAATTAAAAATGTATTTTTAATCTCACACAACTCCCCACATCCCCAGCTGCAGCTCCACAGCATTCTCTTCAGCACATCCGGATCACCCTGGCAACTCTCAATCCACCTCCATTTCAGCTCAGCTCAGTTCAGCTCAGCTCAGTTCAGTTCAGCTCTTAGGCTCAATTCCGATTCTCGTTGGCTTTTGGCTTAAGCGAATGAGCTTCGAGTTCGATTGCTGCTTATCAAATATGTATGTATACATACATATGTATGTATTTGTGCACTCCACTCGAGGCACTTGTGCATTGTGCTTTAATCAGTTTGTCCCATTCCATTGCCAAGTTAAAATAAAAATGAAATTTACGCATCCAACATTTGCCAACAACTATTTCACAATGAAAACTTTTATTTCTTTTCTGATTTCTCTTTGCTGTTCTCTTCCCACATGGAGAGGCAATCTCTATTCTAGGCCCACTGTAGTTGAGTGTGCTCTAAAATTTTGATACTTCTATGATCACTTTAAGAGTAAAGACATATGTATATATGTACGAATGTATATATGTATGTATGCATGTATGTAGATATGGATGTGTATGTATGTATGTATATGTACGTATGTATATGTGTGTGTGTATGTATGTATGTATATATGTTTGTATGTATGTATTTATGTATGTATGAATGTATGATGTAGGTATATACATATCTATGCATGCATGTACATACATATGTATGTATGCATTTTTAAACGTATTTATGTATGTATGTATGTATGCATGTGTGTAGGTATACATGAATGTAGCAATCTATTTATGTATGTGTGTATGTATGTATGTATGTATGCATGTATGTATGTATATGTGCCCGCACATGTACAATGACCAAGAGTAGCCGAATCTTTTAACTGAATCTTAGTTAGGTTGTTCAACTATTGTAATTATTTTCTGTACTTTGAGTAGGCCTTTTAATTTTATGTTGACTCCCGATTTTGTCAAAATCTTTAAGCAATAAATAAATAAACTTAATGTTCAGTTTATCATTTTTGTCTATACTCACTTTATCTTGTTATGGATATCTTTTTATCTATATCAGAGTCTTGTTACTGCTCGCATTCATGTTCAGTTTGTGGGTATATCAATATATTAATCTTACACATAAGATGCAATGAGTTTACATGTAAAATATTCTCTACATATATCTAACCAGATCTAACCATATAATCTCCATTTGAGCACCGTTCTATGTATGAAGTACGTGTTATGGGTATATCCTACAACTATTCAGTTTACCTATACCCATCTATGGCTGAGCTTCAATATAAAATATATCCTCGTCTCCACATTCAGTTCGCCATTTACAATGCGAACTCTTGGTATCTTGGTATCAAATCTTTGTTCGCTTTCAGGGCATATGCCTGAATTATGGATTAGCTTAGAATACGGATATCTAAAGAGCAACAAAGTCTGTTTTTCACAGTCGCTAGCCCCCCTCTTATAAACCCTATAACAGCCCAACTTCAGGTTCATTTGGACCTTCTATTTTTCAGTTCTCCCAAATACAGCTCGGCATTTAGCTGCGCACCTCATCAGTGTAAATTCGAGTCTGATTTGCGCATGCAAATGCAGCTAAGCGAACTCCCAATCAAATTGTCGGCCAGGTCACAAACTGTTTTCTCTTTTTCAGTATTTCATGTCTGTTCGCCTGTCTGTCTGTCTGTCTGTCTGTTTGTCTGTTTGGGTGTCTATCTGTTTGTTTGTCTGCTTGTCAAGTGTCACTCCACATTTGCTGCCTGCCAAACTCAAAGGCAAATCTTTTTAATACGCTGCCAAAGGGTATGATAAATCTCTTAAACAGTATGTAACACCTGCTTGATGATGTACAATACATCATATAACAGATATATATTCTTGATGGGTATGAAGAGAGTCACTCTTATAGTCAAGCGCCTCTAACTCTCTGCCGAGACATAGATTCGCAATTCAAACCAATTCTTTGACTTGAACCAAGGCTCGAATAGTTTTCTTCAGTGTATTTGAATTCCCATAACTTCAAGCGCATTTAGTGAAAATATAATATCCATATAGTATATATTCATATTCAAATCAAGTGATTAATGATCACTTAATAATTATGAAAAAACGTTTTATTTTATAGAGAATAAGAAAAAGTAAATTTCAGTCTAATTTTAATCATTTCTATTGCTTTACTTGACTTTCTATCGTATTGAAACCAGTTTTTCTATATATACAGTAGAATTCGGTTATAACGACTCTGCTTATAACGTCCGCACGTTTATTGCGACATATTTATATGAGCAAACTTCAACGGTTATAGTGTCTTTCGAGTATTCTTGATTTCTTGAGCATCGTTATAGCCGGATACTACTGTACTATTATAACTACTATTGGCTTGATCGTGTTTTTTTTCTGTGAATTGCAATAGCTTTTGGCTTGAACCACACCCAGTGGATGATTACGAATTCATTTCAACTCAGATTTGATTTCATTACATTTCAGATTTCAATTGTTTTATTTGCGAACCGAACCGGTTATCCGTTATGTTTGTTTACTCACTCTGCCGAGTGTATTCACGCCTCGGCTAGTCGTGGCTGCGCTCTGATATCTTGTTTTTATACCCTGAACCCATTTTCAATGGGAAATCAGGGTATAATGGTTTTGTTGAAATGTATGTAACAGGGAGAAGGAGGCGTGGCAGAC